GAAGACAGGTCTGTGAATACACCACCTGTGGAAATGCACCATCTACTGAAATCCCTGTGTTCTTCTTTGAGGCCTTCAAACACTGATCAGGCACTGGAAGGGAGTGGTCCCAGGGAGGTGGTGGAGTCACCGTCCCTGGAGGTGTTTAAGGACAGACTGATGTGGCACTCGGTGCCGTGGTCTGCCTGACAAGGTGGTGTTGGGTCACAGGTTGGATTTGATGATCTCAGAGATCTTTTCCAACCTCAGTGATGCTGTGATTCTCAGCCTCGTGACCCCTACGTGTGTCCCGCAGGCAGGAGGGCTGGCAGCTCCCGCAGTGGAGCAACGTGCAGATCTCGGAGCACTACAGCACCTGCATCCGCCTCTCCACGGAAAACGTGAGTCCCGGGGCATCGGAACCGGTCCTTAAATACTCACTCTGGAGGTTAAACCCCCCTGGCTGCAAGGTTGGAGGGGGATTTAAAAGCCTTGGGCCTTGCATGGTTATTCATGTGTTGCCTTAAGAGACCGCAGAAAAAAAGGACTCCAGCCAATTTAGTGGATAAGACAAGATAAAGAGAGTAGGTCCTTTAATTTCAGGCCTGAGGCCCAGTGAATACATATGACATGCCTGCCGTGTCCACGGGGTTCCACAATTTAAGGTATTATCCCAACCAATCCCAGATCCGTCCACCCCCCAGATCCTCCTCCCGGCACACCCCTCTGGAAATTGAGGCAGGGGGCTCTGGGACCCCCTCTTCCTTGTCTTCATCTTTCTCAAAGTACGTCCAGTCCTTGGAGCTCCTCCAAAGTTCTGGGCTTGAAGGTCGTTGTGTCTGTGGAGTATCTTGTTCAAGCCAGGGTGCAGATGTTCTTAAACAGGATGAAGGCCTACCTTGAGGGAACTCTAAACATGCTAACGGAATTCAGAGGGGTTGATATGGAATGGGGAAACAGGGTTGGGTAAATGTGTAAATTACTGTGCTAAAGGGTGAGCTAACTACAGCTACATTAAAATCTACATTCACTACACAGCTACTTCTAAAATCTACAAAAGTTAAGAAAACCAAAAAGCTCTGAGGCATCATATGGAATCACAGGATGGGTCAGTGGGTCCAACCTTGCTGCTCCAGCAGGGCCTTCCCAGAGCACATGGAACAGGATTGTGTCCAAGTGGTTCTGGAATATCTCAAATTACAGTGACATATTCACAGTTTGTCCTAGAAAGGCACAAGTCACAGAACCACAGAAATACAGAATGTCTAAGGTTGGAAGGGACCAAGGGGTCACTGCTGGTCAGGGAGGACCTGTCCACGAGGACCCTCAAGTCCCCCCCCAGCCTGTGCTGCTGCCTGGGGTTGTTCCTCCCCAGGTGCAGGACCTGCATTTGCCCTGTTGAATTTCAGAAGGTTCTTCTCTGCCTGTCTCTCCACTGTCCTCCTATTCCTCTTCCCTGGGCCAACCATGGCCCTGTTGGTGCCCTCCCATCCCTAACACACCTTACAGCCCATGTCCCCTTGGCCCTACCCTAAATCCCCCCCTGAGCTGGGGGTCCAGGCAGGGTGAGGGGTGTCCTTGGCCCGGGGATTGGTCCTAAGCTGTGCTTTGTTCCAGAAAATCACCTCGAGAAACGCCTTTGGTTTACATCTCATCGACTACATGACTGAGATCCTGAACCAGAAGAACTCTGAGCTCACCAGCTTCAAGGTGAGAGGAGTTTATTTCCATCTGGTGCTTTATTTCCATCTGGATTTAACCCAGCTAATATCAACCCTCAAATAATGCTCAGGTAGCTGAGCCTGTTACTGCCACCAAAAATACCTGGGAGAGGCAGCACATTCACTTGTTGCAGGAGTTTAAGGCTGTGAATAATCCTTTTGTACCACAGAAATTAATGTCTGAATTCTCTCAGTTATGGTCCTTCTAAAGGAAATCTTGCTTAAAAGTAAGGTTTGTTAATATTGAGTGTTAAAACCAGGAAAAAAATAAGGCTGGAAAAGAAAGGAAGTTAGTGCTGGTCTGATTTTGATCTAGGAATGGATCAGAATAAGAACTTGCCAAGGAAAAGACTAACTTTAATAGTTGACTGATGCTGGGAGGGAAAACTGGGTTCTTGGATGAAGGAATAAATGGCTGAACTTTTGATGAGGCCTCAAGGAACCTCTGAACGAGCTGGTTGTGTTTGATGGGATGAAGAAAGGCTGGGAAAGGCTGCACAGGATTTTATTGGGGGATTTTCCACCTTCCAGGGGGGAGTCTGTGATCAAAAAAGGAACTTGGTATCTCCTGTTTCTTCACCTCTGGAGTTCATAATCTGGGAAAATAGAATGATACCAATGGGGTGACCCTAAAAAAGACATGAAGGGGAAGTGGAGGAGAGAGTTTTGCTTCTCCCCATTGCTTAATCTTGGCAACTTTTTATGCATTTTTCTGTGTAATCCCAAAAGATGAAGCAAACTGTGGGGAAAACACACCCTGGCTCCTGCTGGGGGGCCATTAGCTTTTAGAATAAATCCTTTTCCAGCTGTTCACAGTTTTTCTTGTGATGCAGAGCATTCAGGAGCTCAGTCTTGTATCTTATAGATGAGACTTTTCCTTTTCCAAATGAGAATTCCCTGTCCCTGCTGTCAGGTCGCAGCTGGAACGTTGGATGCCAGTGCCAAGATCTACTCTGTGCGTGTGGACACAGTCTATGCAGACACCTACAAAGTCCTTGGGGGCTTGGGCAAGGACTCAGCACCTGCCAAGGGCCTGGACAGCCCAGGGGAAGGTGGGCAATTCCCTCATTTTCCTGTTAAGCTGCTGCTTTTCCACCTGGGAACAAAAGGCACCTCAGTGCTCAGGGAATTTCGAATAGCTTTAGAATTAATTTTTCAAGGTCTGGGAGGTCCCAAATTGATTTCCCCGGGTGTTTGTTTAGGGAGGGTTGGGATGAGAATCTGCATCTGTTGCTCAGTCCTGAATTCAGTGGTTTAGTCCAGGGATTTAGATTTAGACACAAACCGCGGTTGGTCTGATCTGAACCAGTAACAATGAAGGGCCTCATGCTTTGCTGTCCTTTGCTTTGAAATAAATGTGCCAAATAGAGTCAATTTGTGGCCAAATAGAGGCAATTTGTGACCAGATAGAGTTGATAAAAAGCAAAACAGCATCCAGGCAGTGAAATATTGGTGGTTTATGCTAATAAATCACTGACTGAGTAACTTCATTGTGTATTTGTTGTACAAATTGAACTCAAAGTTGTTCTATCCCTCCTTGGGGTATTTTAGCAAGTTTTTTAAGTGTCATTTGTTCTTCTTTCCCTTTCAGAAGACAGTTCAGCTCCTGAGGCCGTCAAGAAAGTTCAGCCAAAGAAAAAACAGTCCTTCAAAACCATCGAGCAGAATTTGAACAACATCAATGTGTCAGAGGCCAATCGCAGGTGGAAGGTGGGTTTTGGGGGAGGCTGCTGGAGCAGCTGCGTGTGGGAGGAAGGGGGTTGTCACCTCATCTTCCTCATCTCTGTTTTTCTTCTTGTTCATTCCTCTCTTGGGCTCTGACAGTCACGTACATGTCTGGACTGTGCTGCTACAGCAGAGTTGTGTCCAGTCAGGTCTGAAAGGGAGCTGGGAGGGCTCTTTCCTTACTGAAAAAGATCATGAATTATGGGATGGTTTGGGTGGGAAGGGATCTTAAAGATCAACCAATTCCACCCCCTGCCATGGGTAGGGACACCTTCCACTATCCCAGGTTGCTCCAAACCCTGTCCTACCTGACCTTGGACACTTCCAGGGATGGGGAGGAGATGTTTGGGGTCATTTTCCACTTCCCTCCACACCTGCAGGTGGATCCCATGTTCCAGAAAGCAGCAGCATCCTTTGATGAATGCAGCACTGCTGGGATTTTCCTCACTCATCTGCGCTCCCAGAACTTCCACAGCGAGCTCCAGTTTGAGTCCAGGATTGTCCCTCTCCCTTCCTCGGAGACTCTCTCGCTGCCAAACTCAGATCCCGTGAAAATGATGGGTTTAAAGTGTGAGTGTTGGGCCCATCTGGACCTTTCCATGCTTTTAATCTCCCAAGTGAGCTCATTTTAGTCTCAGTTGCCTTGAGTTGTGCTTTGGTCACTGCTTGGCTGTCCTGGGGCACCAGTGCTCTGATCCTGGCCCAGCTGGGAGCAGCTGCTGGAAAACCAGGACCTCTGTAGGTTTTAGAACTTGACCTGTCACCCAACCTCTGGCACATCTGGCACAGCAGATGTTGGTCTGAGCTTTGCAGGACTTGGGATTAGTGCTCCAGGTTAAGGACTGACCTTCTCAGAGTGTGTTGAGCCTGGATATAGGACCAGCCCCAGCTGCTCTGACAAGATTCCCAGAGTTATTCCCACCCTGGAGTTAGTGTGGGAACTGAAATATCCCTTATAAATGAGCTCTGCATAGAAGAAGAGCTGCCCACATACGTGACTTTAAGATTAATTAATTAAGAAATCATGCCAGGCACTAGTTTTAGCTGCTGGTTTTGGATCCTGAGTCTAATCCCTCCCCAATGCCCTCCCTGTCTCCAGCCCTGCTGGCTCAGTGTGTTGAGAAACGTCCCATCTGCTCTTCCCTGGCTGGTTTCCAGTTCACAAAGTGGGATGAGGAGTCCCATGAGGAGGTAGGTTGGATGGCTCTGTGCTGGGTGGGATAACTGGGCCAGGTGGGATACCTGAGTTCTCACCTCCGAGATACACAGGGGGAGGTTGTGCTGCAGGGCTGCTGCTATCCTGCTTTTTCATGGAATCATAGAATCCCAGACTGGTTTGGGTTGGAAGGGACCTTAAAGTCCATCCAGTCCCAATCCCTGCCATGGGCAGGGACACCTTTCACTAGACCAGGTTGCTCCAAGCCCTGTCCAACCTGGCCTTGGACACTCCCAGGGATGGGGCAGCCACAACTTCTCTGGGAATTCCATCTCTGCTCCTCACCACCCTCCCAGGGAAGAATCTCTTTACAATATCCTGTCTAAATCCACCCTCCTTCAGCTCAAGGCCATTAAGCTGAAGCTTCCCCACCTTCAAATCCTGAAGCTTCAACTCATCCTGAGTTCCTTCTTCTCTCAGTCAGTGTTGGCCCTGCTGGATAAATTTAAGAAGAGTGAGCACGTGTTTGACCCCAACGCGGAGGTGGAGAGTGATGGGGAGGGCTGTGCTCCCCTCCTGCCAGAGGATGACTTCCACTCGGATTCCCCTGGGAGCAGAGCAGCAAAAAAGCTTGGGGATATCACAGATAACATCAACTCCTTTGCAACAATCAGCCAGAACCACAGCAAGAGGTGAGTGCTCACTGAAAATCCATAGCTTTGCTTTGATGGCAACTCACAACTTTCGGCAGCTTTCTGGGGAATCTTTTGTTCCCTGCTTCCTCCTCCAGTTCTGGGTAAATCCAGGGATGTGTTATGGGAATATCTCTGCCTTCCAAGGGGATCTTTGGCAAATCAACCTCTTTTTTGCAGCAGCCTCACAGATTTAAGACATTGCAACACCCCCAGCTCTGGTTAAAGACCAGGAGTCCTTCCCTGCTGGCACAGTGAACGGGAACGTCTGTCCAGAGCTACCCTGGGTATTCAATGCCCTCAGGAGTGCCAAAGGAATGGTTTCACTGAGTGCACATATGCTCTTTCCAGGACTGACGGGGCTCTTTTTGGAGAGGGAGATGTTGAGACCATGTGCCTTCATCTCTCCATGAATCCAGGGGAATATTCCTACTTCAGTCCCCGCACTCTGTCCATGTGGGCTGGCCCCCAGCACTGGCGCTTCAAACCCCGCCACACATGTAGGTATTTGGGGACAGCAGCTGCTGCCAGGTCCTGCTCACCCCGGAGATCAGGGAATCATGGAATGAGTTGGGTGGGAAG